ATATGATCATGACAGACAACATATTGTCCCAAACAAAAGATAAATATTTCCATGCTAATGGTAAGCATCACAAGTAACTATAGTTCACAGAAAACCAGCAACATATTCTTGATGTTCATATAAGGTGATAAAAAGAGAGAGATTAAGAGTATACTGACCCTTTTGAGGGCAGCAGACCAAACGAAGACTTTCTTAGTTGCTTATGACCCCAAGAACATCAAGTTTGAAGTAGCGACAATACTCAGAAACGAAAAGGAAAAGAAGTAGTAAGGGACCCTAGGCTTTTTTAACTCAAAATTTCTCTTAGATGATTTCAGTGTTAGGTTGTTGTGTTCGTGTATTTTTGGTGAGAACATTAAAGACACCTTTTGTAGTGCCATTTAAGGCTATAGGGTTTCACAAATTCAAATCAGTAGTGGAAAGTGACGTATGGTATATGATGATAGCAAATCGAGTGAAAATCAAAAAGAAACATAGGGGAAAAACAAGGTGGATTTTACCTAAGAAGAGGGATCGATTGTTAAAAGCTTTGAACCAATAGACAAATCGAAAAATCCAGAGGTCACTGTGTTTTACATCTAGGTATAGAATTTCATGATGAATCTCTGAAGAAAGTTCCATGCATGCTCCAATTTGACGGAGCAATAGAGGATTTGAACGATTTAAAGTTTCATGTTTAAGCTAGGGTTCCAGATTTTAGGCGTTTGAATTTGAACGATGAAATGGGAAAGAAACCGGCGGGATTCACGAATTTAGAAGGCAAAGGGGATGATTTCTAGTCGATTTGTGACCTTGCACAAATTGGTGTAAGGGTCTTTGATTGATTAGTATGATAAAAGTGGAGATACAGAAGAGAGAAAAAGGAAAGGAGGGCGGCGAGGTCAGAGACGAAATGATAAAAGTGGAGAGACGAAAACGAGAAAAGGGAAAGGAGGGCAGCGAGGTCATTCATCTAAGGAACGAACGACCCATATTTGTTGTGTTTGTTTTGTGATGATGGGAGAAGGGTGACGTGGCATGACTTTATTGGACGAGGAGAAGCGACGGGGATTGCCATGGTGGAGAGAAGGGAATTGGACATGGGTCCTTTTTTCGGATTGGGCTGATGCATTGGGTCAAAAAATAATTTAAAGAATAGCCATTTTGCATTAAATTGAGAGTTGTAATTGTAGCCTTTTGGTCTTTTAACCCCTTTTGAATTTAATTTAAATAAACTTAATAGTTTTCAATAAATGTGGTAACAATTATAATTATTATATATACTACTAGTTACTTTAATTAGTTAGCTATAAAAATACACTGCTTTCCTAAATTGTAGTACTATTTTTTTAATTTCACATAATAATCTAATTAACTAGAAATTAAAGACTAATTTATCAAATTAATTATAAAACCTACATAATGTATATATCAAAATTATTTTAATAATCTTAAAAATAGTAAATATATTTGTAATTAAATAATGCTAATACCACGCGATTAAATTTCAAAACTATCACTTAGATTAATTTGTAAGAATAGGTATTTGTTACTAGAAAAACACTTTAAAACATTTATTGTAAATCGTTAAGTATAAATAAATTAATGTAAAAAGGGAGGGTCAAAATTGACCGTCAACAGCTGCCCCTCTTTGACCGGAGACGATGAAAAAGTTTTCAGGCAAATAAATTGAACCAATGCCAATTTTGTCCCGACTTTTAGCCGAGTATTGCAGGAAATGGGGATGGTGAAATGCAGGATTGAGTTAAGGAAGAATCTAGAAATATTTGGGAATATTGGGGCCGAATTCTGGATTTGAATTGCTTACATACCTCGGGCTTAACGAGGATCAGGCCTCATGTAGTTCATGAGTAGAGATTTTGGCGAAGCGACGCTCGCAGAAATTACCCTAGTATCGTATTATAATGATACAATGAGACGAAAGATGATAGCTTGAATTTTGCGGCTTGATTTGAAGGATTTGAAAGTTTTTAGTTTCAGTGATCGTCTTGAGCTGGGATCTTAGGCTTGCTAATGGGTTGGATGTCCCCATAGCATTGTAGTTCAGTCTTCTGCTAAGAACAAGTTCCACGCTGCGGTGTTCGTTCCTGCAAAACAAATGAAATACACGCATACCAATATATTATAATGCAAAATATATTAAGATGTGATGTAAATAATGTAGGAATGATGATGTCTGGCTGCCGGCGAGCCGTTATTTGGGATCGGGATGATGGGATATTCAATCTTGACTCAATTTGTTAGCCGAGCTATGTACCGTTCCGCAGCTGTCAGAGTATTTGAAAATTGTGTCCGCTTTTTGGGAGATCTTGATTGGCAGAGTGCGTCTCCGCTTGTTGGGAGAGCTTTGAACTAAGGAATGTCTCCGCTTTCGGAAGAGCCTGACTTGTAGAGTGCGTCTCCACTTGTTGGGAGATATTTGCACTGAGATGTAAAGTAATCTCCGCTTAGGAGTGATTGACTAAAACCATAATCATGTCTGAAGTTGCATGAGCAAAACGTTGAAACATTCAAAGTAATAGTAAATGAAATGAAAGCATGCCCAAGAGATACTCTTGACTGCGAAACTAAGTTGCGGCCATCGATTGGTAGAACATTGGTGACGAGGTTTGCGATTGTCTATTCTGTCATCCGGTGCAACAGAGCGGGGATGCGAATTGCTTTGGTGGCAAAGTTTGCAGTTTGCTATATACAAGGCTCCGATTGGCGAAGCCGATCTTTGATTTGTAAAGGGCGCTATGATTGATTGAGTTGACGGTTTGCTATATACAGGACTTCAATTGGTGAAGCTGACGGATTGTTTGTACAGGGTGCTCCGATTAGTTGAGCAGGCATTTTGCTAGATAAAGGACTTCAATATGTGAAGCCAAGGATCCGTTTTGTACAGGATGCTACGATTGTTTGAGCATTGGATTTGCTATGTACAAATTTTTCATGTCAGCTGTCTGATTCCGACGTACCTACAAAGGATTCAAAGGTTAGCTTTAACTGTACCAAAAACATTCATGTAAAGGAGAAAAAGAGATAATCTTAGGCAAGTGGCGGGTCCATCATTTTCCCTGGTGTGTTCTTAATGCTCCCTTGTTCCCTGTTGATCCTGCACTCAAAGAAAATTTCTTAGTGGGGGCGGAGAAGTTGGTTTGTGTCGACCACAGTGTTGGTTTGCCCCGGTCTTTGACATGACTGTGCCGCGATGTTCAGTAGATGGAATAAATTACTGTATATATATATATATATATATATATATATATATAGAGAGAGAGAGAGAGAGAGAGAGAAAAAAAAATTCGAAAATAATGTGTTATTAAGGCAAATGCCGCCGTTCCGGATTATGACATGTCACGGAAGGTTCTCCACAGGCGAGCGTATCCTCTTGAAAATTGTCTTGTTGATGTCAATTTTCCGTGCTGCTTCTGACAACGCGGTTGCTTGTTGTTGCGACTGCATCCTAATTTGAACTAATGTATTACAAGGCTTTCTAAAGGTTATGACTGAACCCTTTCAGGTTGCCTACTTATCCAAAACAGAATCAGGTCTGAACGTAGTTCATGGGTTATGATGAAATATGATGAATATGACCGAGCCTAACTCAGGCAACCTATGTATCCAAATAGAATCAGGTAAAAGCGTAGTTTGATTACAACAATTGCAAAATGATGATATTAAGAATGAAAATAGCCGAGTCTGACTCAGACAACCTACGTATCCAAACGGAATCAGGACAGAACGTTGTTCAATTATAAAAGATGACTAAACTCGATGAGGATTGCCTATGTATTCCTTTTCTGAGGAAATTAAGTTGGCGTAGTTCCTGAGTAACATACAGAAGTGATATTTGGTTTTTCTATTACAAAAGAAGGGGGGAGAGAAACTGAACCCTAAGTGCGTTGCCCACGTATCCCTCCGAGGGATGTCAGGTTGAACGTAGTTCTGCTACATCAAAAACCTAACTCTATTTTTCTTCAAACATAGTATCTCTTGATTGCATCTGAGTTGATAGGCTTCGTGTTGACTCTTCCATCCATATCTGCCAAGATTAGAGCTCCACCTGATAGTGCTCGATGAACCATGTAAGGACCTTGCCAGTTTGGTGCGAACTTTTCTTTGGCTTCTTCTTGATGGGGAAAGATTTTCTTCAAAAACAACTACCCCGGTATGAACTAGCGAGGCTTCACTCTCTTGTTAAATGCACTGGACATCCTATTATGATATAGCTGACCATGACATAATGCATCCATTCTTTTCTGATCAATGAGCATGAGCTGTTCCTGCCTGACCTATATCCATTCTGCATTGTCCAGTTTTGCTTGTTGAATGACTCTTAAAGACGGTATCTCGGCCTCTTCGGGTATCACCGCTTCAGTGCCGTATACCAACATGTACGGTGTTTCCCCACTGGATGTTCTCATGGTAGTCCGATAACCTAGTAAAGCAAAAGATAATTTCTCATGCTATTGTCTGTGATTGTCCACTATCTTTCGCAGAATCCTCTTGATATTCTTATTGGCTGCCTCAACTGCCCCATTCATTTGTGGTATGTAGGCTGTGGAATTGCGGTGGACAATTCTAAACTTCTTACAGATTTCTCTCATGAGGTCGCTATTGAGGTTAACATCATTGTGAGTGATGATAGACTCTGGTATCCCAAATCTATAGACGATGTTGTTTCGGACAAAATGTGCCACTACCTTCTTTGTGACGGCCTTGTAAGTAGATGTCTCGACCCATTTGGTGTAATAGTTGATAGCTACCAAAATGAAGTGATGTCTGTTTGATGTTGCAAGCTCTATAGGTCCAATTACGTCCATGCCCCAGGTGGCGAATGACCAAGGTAAACCCATTACCTTTAACTCATTTAGTGGAACCCGGATGAAATCTCCATGAATCTGGCACTGGTGACACTTCTGCACATAGCGGATATTGTCTCTTTCCATAGTCATCCAAAAGTATCTAACTCTCAAAATCTTCTTGGCTAATGTGAACCCATTCATGTGGGGTCCTCACGTTCCTGCATGTATTTCCTCAAGTAATCTGGTTGCTTCAGCGGAGTCTACACATCTCATCAAACCTATGTCTAGGGTCCTCCTGTACAGGACTTCCCCGTTGAGGAAAAAGTGGTTTGCCAGCCTCCTGAGTGCTCGCTTTTGACCATTAGTAGCATCTTCCGGGTATTCTCTGGTTGCTAAAAATCTCTTGATGTTGTGATACCATGATTTACCATATGGTTCTTCATCTACATGGAAGCAATAGGCATGTTGATCCCTGATCTCTACCTCGATAGGGTCGATGTAGTTCTTATTTGGATGCCGAATCATAGATGATAAGGTTGCAAGGGCGTCAGCGAACTCGTTCTGAATCCTAGGGACGTGCTCGAACTCAATCTTTGTAAACTTCTTGCACTGCTCCTTCACGCAGTGCAAGTACAGAAGTATCTAAATATTCTTGGTTAACCATTCCCCTTGGACTTGGTGTATCAACAAATCGGAATATCCTATGACCAAAGGTTCTTTGATGTTCATGTCGACTGGCATTTCGATTCCAAGGTTGCACGCTTCTTTTTCAGCCATATTATTGGTTCAAGAGAATCTTATCTTTGTCGATGTTGGGTAATGCTGTCCAGATTTCTAAATCAGGACTGCCCCAATTCTGACTCCTTTGAAATTTATTGTTCCATCAAAAAACATTCTCCACCCAGGGTATGATTCTGCAATATCTTCTCTGGCAAATAATACTTCTTCATCGGAGAAATACGTGGTAATCGGTTCGTAATCCCCATCTATCGGATTTTTTGCGAGGTGGTCGGCTAAAGCTTGTCCTTTGACAGCCTTCTGAGTTATGTACACAATGTCAAATTCGCTGAGGACAATCTACCATTTAGCTAGCTTTCCGGTAGGCATTGGCTTCTGGAAAATGTACTTGAGCGGGTCGAGCCGACCAAAAAGCACTCCTACTCCGCTGAGTGAATACCACCAAAACCAGCATCAGAACCTGCACAAAATATATAGAAGTGTATTATGAGTACAAAATACAGTACTCAATACGTATCTAGTCTAGCTTCGAAGAATTAGTGGCAAGAGGTCAATAGTCATACCTACTAACAACTCAATAATCATAAGAGGCATAAACAACATATGGACTAAAGCATGATATCATCAATCAAATCCATCAGCAAAAACACAATAAAGCTGATGTAAACATGCTTTTCAAACTGGAGACACAATATCAAATATCTCAGATCTTTCATAATCATGAAATGATTCAATTGGCAGTTATATAAATATAAGATCCACTGCAATGAGTCTAAGCTACCAATGCGTGCTCACAACTCAATACCAGTTCTCACTGCACAATTCCATATATCCAACACTGGCCGAGTGTCCAAACCAATACCAATCTGAGAATCTGCGCTCACCAATCCCAAAGTAACATGGGTAATTACCTGACTCTGGAGGGGCGGCACAATATCCAAACGCCGTTGTAGCGGGCAACATGATCCACTAATAGTAATAATACTATGGCGGCATGCAACCTGATTCACATATACTACCGTTGCAGCATGCAACCCGATCCACACATAATACTGTTGCAAGGTGCAACCCAATCCACACAAAATTATTAATAATCAATATCTGCTCAAAATGTCTAGTGCTAATGTTTTCATATTTTCATAATATTCAACTCTCCAACTCAAAAATATATGTATGAGACAATATAATTAAAGGCACCAGATCATAATAATAGAAATGCAGATAAAAGCCCATATGGCTAAAAGATGGCTATGGCTAATTATGTAATTCAATTCATCTCAATCATTCAATAAGTAATTTTATATTTAACATGAATAGATAAAGCCATGTAACCACTAAATCATGAATCAATAAGGAAAGCATATGACTACGGCTTTACAAAGAAGCTCAATCTAGCAAAATCATCATTTATGCCCAATTTAAAAAAGTTATAACCTTAAGAATGCTTCTAAGCCACAATCACAAATCGTCACATAGTCATAGAATTGATGAAACATGAATAATAAGTTCACATAGTCCAAACAAGATAAAATCATAAGCTAAAATTTATCGGATATGGTCATAACCTAGCTACGCATATACACTCGTCACCTCGCATATAAGTGGCTCCTAAATCGAGTAATAAGTAGCAAATAGACCACCTATGGGAATAATTTCCTCTTATAAAGATAGACGAGAGACTTATCTCCACCTAGTAGTCTTCAACCTTCCGAAATAGCTTTCTCTATCAAATCAACCTCCAAACGATGCGAATCTAGTCAAATACAACTCAATAATTTCAAATAAAGCTATAGGAATCAATTCCAAATATTAAACCTTTAATCTTTAATCAAATTCCTAGTGTCAACAAAAGTCAACCCTAGGCCGAAATGGTCAAAATCCGAGTTAAGGGGTAGATCTCGACTATCCATAACCCCACAAGTGCAAATATATGAATAGATTCCATAACCGAGTCCAAATCGACTCCCAATCCCCAATTTACACTCTCTTAAATTGTAGATAAAATCCCCAATATTTCTCTTTCAAATTCCATAGTCTAAGTATAATAATCCATGGAAAAACAAGCTATATAAAAAAAATCAAATAGAAATCACTTGCCCTTAAAGTAGTAATGAGATTCCCTTCCAAAATCGCCTCTAGCCGAGCTCCAAAATTCAAAATAGTGAAAAATGGGCTAAAACTCGACTTAAAACCCTTCTATCAGGCATCTTGCACCCCTGGCCCATATTGTCGCTTCTGTGACATCTCTTCTATTATAAATCCTCGCTTATGTGAGCTTCACTTAAATAGTCGACTTTGCATATGCGGTTCACGTGCCCCATCTGCGGACACACAAGTGCGACCATCCTTTGCTTATGAGACATCACATCTGTGATACTCCTTGTCTTAGATGCAGACAATGCCAAACCATCAGCCTTTCTCAAATTCACAACTATTTCTTGCGGGGTGCGACTTTGCTTAGGTGTGATACACCAACACCAACAACACAACCAACTCCATAATAGTCCAGAATCATTCTGAAACACACCCGAGCATCCCTATCCCCGGTCCAATTATGCCAACAAATCCGAAAACCTAATACAAACTTATCCAAATACTGAAAATACCATAACTAACATCAAAACAAAGAATCAAGGATCAAAATCCATATCTTCATTTCCAAACTTTTCAACTTTGCCAAACATGTTTGAATCATTCCTAAATATTTGGAATTTCAATCACACATTGCACACAAGTTCCAATCCACTAAAAGAACCTATCCAAAGTCTCGAAACACAAATTGAATCCTGATAATATCAAAGTCAACTCCCGGTCGAATCTATGAATTATCCAAACCTTCAAATTGTTAAGTTTTGGAAAATAGAGTCAAAACCTTCTAGGAACCTCCAAATCCAAATCCTAACATACACCTAAGTCGATAATCACAATGCAAACCTATAGGAGCCATCAAATCACAAATATGAGGCCATCTACTAAAAAGTCAAACCTTGATCCATCCAGTAATTTTATGTATTTGAGCACTATTTCTCTATTTGATACTTCATGTATGCTAGTTTGTTGTTTTGTGACTTACGGGGATGGTTGGTTTAGTTTCGGAAAGATTTTGAAGTGAATTGGAACACTTAGTTTCATGGTTGAAAGCTTAAGTAATAAGAGTTGACCAAGGTTTGATTTTTGTGTAAACAATCTCGGAATGGTATTTTGATGGTTCTGGTAGGTTCAAACAGTGATTTTGGACTTAGGAGTATATCCGAATTTTGATTTTGAGGTTCTTAGGTTGTTTTGGCTCTAATTGTCAAAAGTTGAAAACTTGAAGGTTTGGAGAATTGATAGATTTGACTTATAGTTGACTTTAAGGTTATCGAGGTTCATTTGGGATTTAGAGCCTTGAGATAGGTTTGGATGGTGACTTATGACTTCTGTGCAAAATTTAAGGTCATTTAGAGTTGGTTAGACATAGTTAACATCAGTTTGGAAGTTGGAGGCTTGATTAGTTTATTAAGTTTGAATTGAGGTGTGATTTGTGGTTTTAATGATACTTTGCATGATTTGAGGCCTTGAGTAGGTCCGTGTTATGTTTTGGTACTGGTTTGTATGATTGGACGGGGTCCCCAGGAGCTCGTGTGTATTTTGGATAGGTTCCGAACAATTTTAAGGCTTCTTGGTGGGTCTGGTGCTGGTGCACCGCATCTATGGAGTGTGGCGAGCAGCTGCAATGTTGTGTCTTCGAAGTAGAAGTCCGCACTAGCATTGGGTATCCAAGGACTTGAAGTTCACAAATGTGCAGGGGTGGTCGCTCTTGCGGAGGTTGCACCTGCGAGGTTTGGCCACATCTGCAGAGCTGCAGAAGAGAGTTTGGTGAGTAGGTGCGGGATGTCAGTGTTTTAATTGATGCTCGCAGATGCGAGTCTTTTTTTGGAGAAGCGGCAAGGATGGCCGTAGAAGCAATAATTGCTCGGTAGAACATTTTAATCGAGGGTTTGACTTTATTTATCATATTTTGAGATTGGGAGCTCGGATTGGGGCAATATTTAAGGCGATTTTCATCCACTTGGATAGGGTAAGTGTTCTTAACTTGGATTTGATTTTTTGTCGTGATTCTATTATTGATTTTGGATATTGGTTGGTGAAATCTCAGGGAGAAAATTTGGGGGTTTTGTAAGAAATTTTGAAGAATGAATAATTGAGATTTTGAACTCCGATTCAGAGTCAGATTTGGATGAACCTTGTAATATTTGAACTTGTATTCGAATGGGTAGTCGGAATTTGTGATTTTTTCAGATTTTGGGAAGTGGGCTCGGGTTGTCTTTTTGGTTGACTTTGTGCAATTTGTTAAATATTGGAGCTTTATTTTTGGGGATCTATTCCTATAGCCTTCTTTGATGTTATTAACGGTTTGGGCTAGATTTGACTCGTTCGGAGGCTAATTCGATGGACAATGTATTTTTAGAGTATTTACTCTCGCACTTTGAGGTATGTGTCTTGCCTAGGCTTGGCTTGAGGGTGTTTCCCTGTAGACTGCGATGCTTGTTATATGTTAAGGGTGACACATGTATGAGGTGACGGGCATATATGCGTACATCATGGATTATTCATGATCCAGGTAGACTTTAGGTTATTATATGCCTTGTTTTGCTATCATGGCTCCTTGTTGCCATGTTTTCTGTACTTGTATGACTACTTGAGCTATTGTTCACGCTTGAAATCATGTTTTGGTTATGTGCTTATCTATTTGAGACATGATAGGGCTATTTTCCTATGTTAAACAGTTGGCCTTGATTGCAGTCATATTTTTCAGTCACGATATTATATTCGCATGTTATAAAACCATCTTCGTATAATTCTTACATGTTATATCATATGGTGTAAGTGTCCTTACTTGTGTGACACTGGTTTGAGTAGATTTATGGCACGTTGGTATAATTTGTGCGGTATATTTATTTATGATACTGTAAGATGTTGGCATGTTGAGATTTGAGCGGATTAATGGTTGAACTGGATCTATAAAGCAGTTTTCATATTGATAGTGAGGTGATGCG